AGGGAAATTATATTTTGCCCAAAGTATACAATCGTCTGCTCTAAAGCATATTGTTCCAGTCACAAAAACGGCATGAAGCCATCCATTATAATAGGCATTCTGAATATCGAAATCACTCGGCTGCATTACCCTCAGTAAAACACCACGTTAGTTATCACGTACATGCCATTAACGGACTGCATACAACTCACTCTATAATTCTTGCCATACACGTACCCGAAGACATTACCCAGCAACGGCTCGCGAGCCGCAACTCACACTGCTATCCTGCGTTGATGCTCGTGCGAAGGTCAGCCAATACGTGCGGGGTAGAAGCCCTCAATGATGCTTCAAGCGAGCGCTTCGCACGCGCCAATGTTCGCTGGAGAGTCGTAGGGGGGACTGCAAGTATTTTGCAAAGCGATTTATCACCCATCGAATCCTCGTAGTAGTGCAGCAACAGCCCCAGTACTTGATGATGTTCCGTCAATTTTGGTGGCCTTCCGCCCACCCAACCAGGTTTGTGAATGGTATGACACCCAGCGAAGCGAGCAAAGGGCTCGTTGAAGGCTTCCCTACATTACCACAGTAACACCCGCTTGGTTAGACTTAATCTGATTCCAGATCGGTTTCCATTATCGCACAACTGACCGAGTCATCGTGGTGACGTTGAGCAGGTTCTCATCCGTGCCGTACTTGTACAGCAGGGTCCACGCAGAGAGGTGTGGCACGCCGAGACAGGAAACTGTGAGACGATGCCGACCTTGAGCTCGCGCTTCAGCTCCGCACTAACCAGTAGATCGTTCACTTGACGGCGCAGCTCCTGGAGCTCCCGGGATTGCCCACAGAGAGCTGCAACGACGGCAACAATTTCGGAGGATCTCATACGGCCGGATCCGAAGAAAACAAAAATGCGATGACATTTCCCCTTTTCCTGACTATGCTGCACTCAACTCATATGACCCTAAATCATTGATACCGAGTGTTTACACGTGGTATGAGCAAATTTCTACCGCGCTCAACAACGATGCTTATGCCAGTTTTGGGGGCAAGTTCTCAACTCTATCTTGGACAACGGCTTACGACAGGAGTTAAATTCCGTCTTACGACGGTCATACGACACCTGTCATATGCCATCTATATGACAGTTTTGGGCGGCGTCCATTAGTCGACTAGCCGAGTGACGCCGCTACGCGGCGGTAGTTTAGGCTTAGTTCTACTTGTTTTGGCCTTCCCGCCTCCGCCACGCTTCGGCAAGATAAATGTAAAAAACGCTATGCCTCGATAGTTTTTAATTTCATTAATTCGGGTCAGTATCAAGCTTACCTGATTAAAATAATTATTCTAACTAGCCGAGTGCCACCGCTATCCGGCGGTAGTTTAGGTTTAATTTTACTAATATTTGCTTTAGCATTCCCGCCTCCGCTGCGCTTCGGCGGAATCATAATTAAAAAACCTGCTGAACCCCGTGCGCGTAAATCGTTTTTCTTAATTCCATTACATGTAATCTGGGTCAGCATCATATTTCCAGATTAAAAATAAAATATTTTAATGATCTTGAATCAAGATTCTTGATGCAATCGTTTCGCTAACGTTATCACTGTGTCTAATTTTCACCCAAAACCACCTGCACGTCAAATAGCATTTAAACAAACACTTCACAATAAGTTTAGTTTAGCGTCGTGCTCGATATCACGGACCATTCCTGAGCCGCTATGAAACTTAGCTCACACGATAGTAAAGCTTGTCCAGATTGCACTACTTACCCGCTTGCACTGCCTATTTCAGTTTGTAAGTAACTAAATTTTGTTTTGTACTATTTTTAATGTATGTAGCGCTCATTTTGTGCTGATTCAGAATTAGCACTCAAATTTGTGCCAGTTCTGAATGATTTTTTTAGTATTGTGTCGCAAGACGCCTTGCTACTTGTTGCTGTCGACGGTAGTGTTTTATTATTTGATAAGTTAGCGATGATTCCAGGATTATTGGACGTCATTTAGGCTCCAAGTTTATTAACGTTTCTATATGGGGTCCACTTAACCAACAATAATTTACACCTCTCGTGTTTTGTTGTTGTCTTGCTGCTCCATTTAAAATATTATCCTACGCCCCTATCGGCGACACGTCCGCCAGCTAAGTAGTATCGGATTTTGCTGTCTAAACAACTCTTAAAAAACAATGGTTTACACCAGTAACACATATGAGTTCGTTTTATTCAATCCAAAACTATCCATCTTTATGGATCAAGTGACTTAGCACAGCGTTGTTCTTACGGCCAGCTTCTGTTGTACATGTACTACTATTTGGCAGCTCAGTCGGTTACCTCACATTCACTTATTTTCTTCTTATTTCTACAGCAAAACATTTATAGTTATTCTTTTAGTCATTGTTTCTTGCACAAACTATAAGGAATATATCATTACGTATAATATTAGTATGGCCTCTAAACCACGCATTCCTACGTGTACGCTAAGCACCTTGTAGGTCCTTAGGGGCTATTTCATTAGAGAATAAGTAGCACTCAAATATTTAAAGCAACATGCAACATTAAAATAGTAAATATAATACTACGTAGTATTAAAACGACGCCGCCTTCGGATAATGAATAGTCTTGTGCAAATCTCCATATGTGCTCTGTGAACCACATTAATTTACTGATGTAAGGTACATAATTTCGTTTTAACCAATCGAAGCCACCTTCGCTCCGCTTGGCAGCCAATGGGAAGGCTAAAAAATCTGAGCGTTTCGTGTGACGGACGGACGGACACCGTGCTAGCATTGATAGTTTAGGACTAGCCGGGCGCCGTTGCTACGCAACGGAGTGGCATGGTTTGTTGAAGCTGAGGTGGCCGCAAAGCTAAGTACTTCTTTGTGTCGCGTGCTTTGTGAGCGTCGTTCAACCTAGTACGTCGTGGCTTCGTGTAGGCAACCACTTAGCTTTCTGTAATATCATGTGGCCCCGTACAATATCGTGGTTTGGTACGTTTCCGTTACCCCGTACCACAGATTGGATGTCATGTTCTTTAATAGCCCGCTCTCTTCCGTGCTCTTCCTGGCTTCGTGGCTCCCTGCTCACCCGTGGCCCACGATGCTTAGTGGTTAAGCGCTTTATCTTTTGAGTTCATTCGCTTTAGTACGGCCGCTTTCGTGGCTGCTAACTATTCCCTGTTCTCAAACGCTTACGTAGGCTGCACCGGTTTCGTGGTACACAGTCTTTCGTGGCCGTTGGCCTCCCATCGACGGTACTCTAGCCGAAGTGCGCTATTCTGTGGTTTGGTGCCTCCCCTCACTCGTGTTGTTCCGTCGCCCGTGTATCGTACTCTTTCGGTATGGCTCCATCGACCGCGTTCTTGCGCTATCATGTAACCGCGGTGTGGTTGCACCGTCATATGCTATCGTATTCACGTAGTTTATCTGCGATTTCCGTATATTTCGTGTTCTACAAAGGCTTCGTGCTCCGCGGTGTGCAATCGTGGTATCCGGAAGTTCCCCAGTGCTTTCGTGGCTGGAATGCCGTCCATGCAATCGTGTTATAATGTACTATCGTCCTTCGTGGCTCGGTGAGCTTAGGCTCTACACTGGTATCGTGCTCTGTGACTCGGTGATCTTCTGACTATAACTTCTTTGGCTGCGTTTTCTACAATGATTTTGTGTTTGGATCACCGTCCATGCTATCGTGTTATCTCTGGTGTCGCAGCTGGTCTGCCGTCTATGTTATCGTTAGCTACCGTAGTGGCGCGCTCCGTGGATCGGTGAGCTCCTGTTCTACCCAGGCATCATGCTCCAAAGATTGATGATTTCCTGTTTCTGGCCTTCCGTGGGCTCAGATTTGATCGGTTGATTGTGCTCCATGTTTAGCCGTGGTCTTGTTGGAGAATTGTTTCTGTGCACTCTTACCGGGACGTGTTCTACCGTGGCTTCGAACGTCCGTGCTCTTCCGTAACTCGTGTTTTTCAGCATGCTGGGGTGTCAATATTTACCTTTCTTCCGTGGTACGTAAACTCCCGTCATGTTCTTGTCCTTCCAATTTTTTTTGGCTGCGTGCTCTTCCGTGGCTCGTCTCTTTCTGAATAGCTTGTGGCTTTGTTATTTTCGTGCCCACCCGTCCTCCGCTTCCACCCCAGCGTGTACATTATCTAGTTTAATATTCCTCCGTATTTTGTGCTCTTACCTGGGTTCGGGCTTTTCAGTGGCCTTGCGTCAGCTCATTCACCCAGTGCGCTTGCTGTACGCTACGTAACGTGTTGGAAAGTGCGCCAACTATCTTATTTCGGACGTTACACTCGCGAATATACAAACCAATTATCACAGCTAAGGGAATATATTTTTCTCGCGGTGGCGGGGTGGTATGTGCGGGTGTGGGGAAAAAGGTTTTAGTAAATAATGTTAGTAAAAAGCTGTGTGCTTTATATAACACTGATATAATAATTACGTGTACTACTACTTCAACGTTTCTACTTCTAAATATTAGTAATAGCACTTTTATATTTATCTAGCGCTAAATTTAATAAATGTAAGTGCGTGTACTACTATTACAAATAACTGCAAGCAAAAATATGAAAGATATTAAGAGTAGCATTTTTTTAAGAAAAATTATTACAAAAGTACCACGAAGCTTAACACATCATATTAAATCCAATAAGTACTAAATTTCTTAATTAAGCTGAAATATATGTCACCAGGGCCTTAAAAATTGGCGGTGTATGCTGTTACATACTCATTCCATAAATAGTTCGTGTATGTGGACGATATGTGAGTCACATATCGTCCACATACGTCAGGAACACACGTTTATACACGATAATTTATTCTGTCGCGGTAAATTACCAAATCGATATAAGTAAGACAGAGGTTCGCCACATTATTTAATGAGGCACTTTCAGTGTTGTGGAATGATAAATGAGGTACATGTACAAATGACTGTTAAGTAAGGAGCTTTCAACTGAGAGATACATTGATGAATTGGCTAGTGTTGTCAACTCCGACTTCCAACTTGTCCGTCATCTCTGTAATCGATGATACTAGCCAAAAAAGCGAAGGTCTTTGTCGGGATAGAGTCGACGGAGACCTTGGACAAAGTATGCTAGTCGAATACTCTGAAGCAAAACTTGATTTGGATTCGTTACGATGCGGGTGCTGATGTAGCTTTCCATGTAGTAAATGACGATGATTCCACAGTTATGCCCGTCTTCTTGGCGGATATTGTCGGCTTTCTTGATTGTGTAGTCTGCATATTTTCCCCTTAGAAGCGGTGCAAGATACGACTTGCATGTCTTGGATAAAAATGAGTAGGTTGGTCGGATCGAGTTGAATGATGTATTTCTTGTTGAAATCAACAATCAAAAGACACCAGTGCTTGTTTTCAATGGCAATTGAATTAAGTATCATACCCGATTGCCGATCAAATACATCACAGAGCCTCTCGTTCAGATGAATCTCCTGAGGCTGGATGTGTTCAAACATGGCGCCATCCACGTACACGATATCACTTCGATCTTGAGTCATCACTTGTATAGCAAGTCGAATGCACATGTCATTAAGCCACTCCTTGCTGCGAAACGCCAGAAGCTCGTATACGAAACACACCTGCAGCAGCGACGAACCATGTCGTTATAAGCACATGCTGTTACATACCATCACATATTCACATACCGAAAACAAGTACATACCTCTTCGTCGCGGATCTTTATCAAAGCATACACAGATGCCTCTCGCAGAGCCGAGGTTATTTCATCGACACGGTCTACAGCCACTGATCGCCTTTGTGCCTGAGCCACAATCCATTTCAAGCAAGCATCCACGTTCTTTAAAAAATTGCGCTTCTCATGAAAACGTGCCATGGTATCAATAATCGATTCCGAATACAGCGTCGCGTTCTCATCAAGGCTCGGGTGAAATTTGACAACTAGGCCACTTTCAGAAGACAGATCGATGCGCTTGTCTAGCGAGGTCTTCGTCTCCATCTTAGTAGTTTACGCCAAATCCTTTGCCTCCCGTTCAAGCGTCTTTTTGTACGACGTCACAGCTTTGGTCGCTAACTTCACCAGTCCTACGCTAAGTACGTTGACTTTTCCACGGACTGGTAGTCTGCTATAATCTTCTTTCTGGATCTTGTACGCTGTGGGTACTACCATAGTTTGCCCTCTTACAATTGGGATACTCATCACTAAGTCGTACCAACCATTGTACGTGAATAGTTCGTATGGAGCATCACAGACGAGTTCAAATGACATTGGTCCAGGTTTGTACTGCTCAAAAGTCATGCAGTTGTCGGATTCTTCAGAGCTCTCGTACTCCAGCGAAATGATTTTTGACGTAGACGGCTTTGCTTGCTTAGGGTACCACGCTCGGGTGGCCTTTGTCGTCTTTGGCCGGCCGCTCACCTTAACTTTCCTGTTCAACTTAAATGGTGCCGAAATCAAAGTTGCAGTGGGTTCTTCAGTGGGGCCTTCCGGTGCAGGAATTGTATCCGTGGGTGCGGTCACGGGTTCATCTACACGTACGGCCACAGGCTTTTGCCTGGATTCGTCAGGTTTGGTTGGCTGCGTTTCTGGAACCCTTTCATCTTCATCACTCCCGCACTTTTGAATGCCAGTATCACTGCAATTACTGTCCTTACGCTGTGTCCACGGTGCTTCGCTAATGAGCGGTACACCTGATGCCTCGATGATGCCTAGAAATGCTTCAAGAGCTGCGTACAGCTGCCTAAACCGTTGCGTGCCATTAGCAACGGCAACTTCGGTTACCTCGTCTTGCATTGCCTTGAACTTCCTCCATTTCAGACGTTCATCCAGCACATACGGTTGATATTTCATCCTTTTCACTTGAACGTTTTGCACAGGCTCGACATCAGTAGCATCGAGCATATCATAGTAAGTTCGCCAGCGCTGATGAATGGTATCAATGGGAATCACAGGAGTCTTATTCAACTATATTATCACCAACAATATCAGTTAGTCCACAGAGCCAAGCAACAATCTATACACTGTCGTACCATTCGGCGGAAATAAATCACGTGCTGACAAGGTAGCAGCATGGTCCTTGAAAAAGAGCAAGTACAATCCCAGTTCTCCGTGTCCACTGTGTACTCGAGATTTCCCCTTCCATTGCTGCTCACGAGAAATACATTGCTTCGTGTCTGTTTGTACGCCATTATCGACGATATCTGAAGTCACATACGAGTAAGTAATTACATAGATCACATACTACCACAAACTCTCACATGCGTCACTTACTTTGGTTGCGTACGCGTATCCAGGAAAAACTAGCTCTGCTGCGTGGTCAGTGGTCTTGTTCAGTAACCGGTTCATCTCCTCATCGTACTCAGCGTGCCTAGTCACACCGATCCGCTGCATATCATGTACAAACACAAGTAAGCATTCAAAACTAGAATATTTAATCCAGCACTCACTAACATTAGTTTTTCGTGTAAACTCGCGCTCCTTTAACAGCTGAAGTGCTATGATTGTCTCCATGCACACATTGTGGTGGATTCTCGGCATTCAGTTCAGGCTTGAGCTTGCTCCATCCTGATTCGATGCGGTTGTTCGTGTTATTCCCCAGGTGAGGGATATCCATACGTAAGTACTCGACCCAGCGCTTCTGACAACCATCCCAATTATCTTTAAAATACTTCACGAACGGATGAATATCCTCCACGCCATCTTCCGCTACGCCCTCGGTATCTGGCTGTACTTCCTTCTTCCTCTTCTCACGCTAAAGCCGGTTCAGTTCGCCAAAAAGATCATCACGAGCTTCCAAATACACAAATTCCGTTGATGCGTACATTATTTGCTTGATGGACAAAAGCATACGGCTTTGAAGCTCATTGCTAAAATCAAAACGAGCTTCACATAATGTCGAACAATGGTTGTTAGTACTTGCTTGTCCTTGAAATCAATCTTGCGAGCGTACTTTTGATCTGCTTGAACCACTTCAACACATGAAAGCGACAGAGAAGAACACGTGCATTAGGAAACATATCTTCCAACACACCAATTTCTGTCATGTCCTTATCAACCTGTGCAGCAAAACACAGTTACGAAAAAATACAAGCATTACACTGACTTTGGTTGCGCGCACCATAATAACCTCAACTTGACCCCAATCAGAGTTATGAGCTTGAAAGGCTTCAATCGCATTCTCCATGTTTTCACTAGTTTCTTGGTCAACAAACGCATGCTGGACAAATTGCCTTTTTCCGTAGGCATCCATGACCAAAGAAAACAGCTTGTACCGGAGATCGTTTGTCTTGTGTGTCGAATCAACTAGCAAAATCTCTGGAAACAATGCAAAAATCTTTCTCATGCCGACAGTTTGAAATGTTAAGCACGTTGCCACGTTGCCATCATTCACGCAGCGTTGAGCTACGTTTCCAGGGTCTGCCTTTTGGAAGTCATCCAGCAGGTGTCTAACTCGTTCGTCGACACTTTCAACCTTTACTTCAGTCTGAATACTCCTGATCATGTTTCGGACGTCCCGTGATGTGACTTCCTTATCTAAGACAAAAACAAACACCAACAGTCACATACGATTACATACAGCCACATCTACATTCAATTTTTACATGTTAACTTGCGTACCAGTGCTGTCAATCACATAGCGATGGATTTTGCCAAACTTAGAGTCCACTGCAACAAACTTTCGAACCATCTCGATGATTTCCGGGTCCTCGACACGTCGGTTCTCAGCATACGCCCTCCAAGCGTCTCCGTTTAATGGATGAGTGTGCGTCGTGTGCTGCTTCGTGACGTAAACAGCAAAGCCAAACTGGTTCTCCGCAACCTTGATGCGCTTCAGCGTTGCAATAATCTGCGCCTTACAATCACAGCCACGAAAGTTTTGCATTGGTCGGATTCCTTTGCCTGAAAACATATTCATTTTGCAACTATTAGTCATGAGTAAACCGAACAAAAGTATATAATCTCACCTCGACTTCTAGTCGACCAACCGTGCGTGCACACAAATATTATCAGGTACAAATTCTCTTCTTCGGGCTCCACTGGATACCGCCACGTCCTTTTCCCAACCTTGTTGCGACTTGAGGCACTAATCGAGCTTCTTTTTCTGGTCCAGTCATACCAATAAGTCAATTTCCTTTTCATAATTTCTTCTTAGTAGCAAGTATACCTGAAAGGTTGGTGTGTAGCTTCACAGTAGTCGTCAAATGCGCTCAAAAGAGCCTGCCAGGTTTGGAAAACTGTCTCCTTCATTAATCGGCATCGGTATTCCCCGCGAGGAGATCCCCCAACAGATTCCGACGAACCCAGAGCTGCAGTTTCCTCCTTGCTAACTGGAACACGTTTTGTTTTGGTCCGAATCTTCGCAGGGGGTGGCCATACCGAGCTAGACTCGTCGTTGCTGCTGCTCTCTGGTTCAAAATTAGACACGCTAGAGCTAGAGCTTTCCTACAAACAAACACTCGATTAGTAGACAACATATACTTTGCCCACGCACACCTTACGCTTCGCGCTCGCTTGCTGTGGCTCGGCGCCATTTGTCCGCCCCCCTTTCTTCCGGCGTCTGCCTCCCCCTCGCAAATGGCCGACTGAACGGATGGCGAGCGGTACGCAAATCATTGATAAAATTTCGCAGGTAACGAGAGCGAAGTTATTTATTTACGTTGGATAGCCTCGAACCACTTACCAGGCACATATTCGTATCATTTTTGTAATGAGCATGTAACAGTAACCACTCCGTAAAAAATTCAATAGCTCCTACGACGATATAGTACGTGTGTGCACATTGGCGCCTTCTACCAATGCTAACTAACGCGCACACAGGGAGCGCCCCTTGCGTCGAGAGGCGCTTAAAACATGACATTTTAACAACTTTTAAGGACGATGTGTAAACCACATACAACGTGTACACCACATATTGCAATTTTAGTGAATCAACGCCGCCTTTGCTGCGATCGACAGCCAGTACAACGCCCGCATTAGCGTGAGTTTAATTAACCCTAACCCGTTACGGACGGACGTACGGACAGACACACGTCAGACTCCAGTAGGGGGGGGGTAAGACTTGCCGTTCGCCGCCGCTACGCGGCGGAGTGGCATGGTTTGTTGGAGATGTGGTGGCCGCAAATTTAAGTGCTTCTTGGTGTCGCATGCTTTGTATGCGTCGTTCACCCCAGTACGTCGTGGCATCGTGTATTTAACCACTTGCCCTTCCGTAGTCTCATTCGGCTCCGTATAATATCGTGGTTTGGAACGTTTCCGCTACCCCGTACTACAGGTTGGATGTTGTTTTCTTCAATGGCCCATGCTCTTTGGTGCTTTTCCCGGCTTCGTCGTTCCTGCTCACCCGTGGCCCACGCTGCTCAGCGGTTCTCTCTCTTGTGGGGTCATGCGCTTTAGTACGGCCTTTTCGTAAATGCTAACTTTTCTCTGTTCTCAAACGTTTATGTGGGTTGAACTGACTTCGTGATATACTATTTCGTGGCCGTTGGCCTTCCATCGCCGGTGCTCTAGCCGAAGTGTGCTATTCCGTGGCTTGGTGTCTCCATGCAGTCGTGTCGCTCCGTCGTCCGTGTATCGTGCTCTCCTGGTGAGGTTCCATCGACCGCGGTATCACACTATCGTGCAATCACGGTGTGGTAATGCTGTCTATGGTATTGTGCTACATAGTGTATCTGCGTTGTCCGTGTTATCGTGTTCTACAATGGCGTCGTGCTCCACAGTGTGCAGTCGTGGTCACCCCAAGCGCCCACCTCCCCGTTTATTTCGTGGCCGGTCCGCCGTCCGTGCAATCTAGTTCTAATGTAGTACTGTCCTCCGTGGCTCGGTAGGCTCAGGTTCAACACTGGTATCGTTATCCGCGGCGCTGTGATTTTCCGTGTATAGCTCCGCGACTGCCTTCTCCCATGGCTTAGTGGCACAGTCCATGCTATCGTGCTAACTTGTAGTGTCGTGGTTGGTCTGTCGCCCTTGCTTTCGCAAGATACGGTAGTATCGCGCTAGTCAGAGAGCTCCGATTCTACCCTATTATCGTGTTCCAATGCTTGGTGATCTCCCGTTAATGGTCTACCGTGGCTTCATATTTGGTCGGTCTACTGTGCTCCGTTTTCTACCGTGGTGATATGGGATAATTCCTGTCCGTGCACGCTTAGCGTTATGGGTTCTACCGTGGCTTCGAAGGTGCAGGCTCTTTCGTAGACTGTGTTTTTCAACTTGTTGGGGTGCCAATTATATTCCGTCATCTGTACGCTCCCGTCATGTTCTTGCCATTCCAAGTTTTCATGGTAGTGTGCTCGTCCGTGGTTCGTGCTTATCAGAATCGTTAGGTGCCTTCATTGATTTAGTCCTCTTTCAACGTTCTTAGCCTTCCGTGCTTCGTGTCGCTCCTACTATCCCATCGTGTACATAGTCTGTCTCGGTGTTCCTCCGTGTTTCGTGTTCTTCTTTATCCACTTGCCTCCGCGCTAACTCAATCGCAAACACTGCTTTTATTTTGTTTGGTGTATGCCACATATCGTGTTGGAAAGTGCGCACAATCTCTTAAGGTCGTACACTACGCACGCAAATACAAAGGAATATGATCCTTTTGTTTCGGCGGCGGAGTGGTGTACATGGTTATGTGGGGTGGGATTGTGGGATGGTGGAAGCCACTATCTTCACATTTTAAAATGGTCAAATATTTAATAGTGGTACTAAATTGTGCATCTTTATCTGACGCAAATATAATACCGGTACTTTGGTTTAAATTGATTAGTATTAGTAATAACATGCGTTTTTTTCTTACGCAACTAATAAATTTTTTGTTGTACTAAAATAAACGTCTACAAGCAAAAATATGAAATACTTAAACAATAGTATTACTCAAAAGTTTTGTAAGTTTTATTATTTGAAAGTACTACGAAGCCTAAAATATCATTCTAAAATCAATAAGTACTAAAGTTTCGATTGAGTCTGAAATATGAGTCACCAAAGCCTTCAAAAAAATTTCAACGGCTCCTACGACGATAAAGTACGTGTGTGCACATTGGCGCTTTCTACAGATGCTAACTAACGCGCACACAGGCAGCGCCCTTTGCGTCGAGAGGCGCTCCGCGGCTGAATATGAGAGCAAAATGAAATTTGAGCGGTGCTACTAAGTACGATGTGTAGTCCACATACAGTGTGAAATATCTTAATAATAGTACTACTCAAAACAGTATTGTAAGTTTTACTTATTAGAAAGTACTACGAAGCTTAAAATAGTAATTTAAAATCAATAAGTACAAAAGTATCGATTGAGGCCGAAATATGGGTCACCAAAGCCTTCAAAAAAATTTCAACGGCTCCTACGACGATAACGTACGTGTGTGCACACTGGCACCTTCTACAGATGCTAACTAACGCGCACACAGGCAGCGCCCTTTGCGTGGCCTTGCAGACCGCAGCTGAAAATGAGAGCAAAATGAAATTTGAGCGGTGCATTTAAGTACGATGTGTAGACCACATACATTGTGTACACCACATAATGCGTTTTAAGCCAGTCGACGCCGCCTTCGCTGCGCTCGGCAGCCAGTAGAACGCGCGTATTAGCGTGAGTTTTGTTAACTTTAGCTGCGGACGGACGCACACCAGACTCCACTAGAGAGGTAAGACTAGCCGTTCGCCGCCGCTACGCGGCGGAGGTGGCAGGTTTTAGTCCAAGGGGAAATGGGCTCCCGCCTTCGCTGCGCTCCGGCGTAAACATTATTTATGTAAACGTGATGTATTAAATGCATATGAAATTGAGCATTCCTACTCTGAGCCAAAGATATGCCTGTAGACAATGTTCTGGGCGTAGACCCCATCCTCCTCCTCCAGCTTTGGGTACTCGACCAGCGCCTTGAATCTTGATCTTGAAGTCACTCGCGACATCGCAACGTACAGCTGCCCGTGGGAGAAGCAAGGCGTAGCAAGATACAGCCCCAAGTACTGCACCGTTTGTCCTTGCGCCTTGTTAATCGTCATCGCAAAGGCCGGTTGGACAGGAAACTGCTTGCGTCTCAAATGAAACGGAAAGCTCCGAATGTCTCCGTCACTGATGAAAACAATGCGGGGAATCAACACATGTTGCCCTTGTCGCTCACCGGTCATGATTGTGGCGTGGATGACATGTGGCTTGAGGGCCACAATTCGAAGTCGTGTTCCGTTGCACATCCCTAGATCTGGATTTAAGTTCCGCATCATCATGATAGGCATTCCTACCTTGAGAGTCAACTTGTGTGTGTGGGGGGGGGTATTCCACTGATATTCATCGAGTGGAGTACCTCCTGCTCGAAGAAATTGCCGTCACTGTCGTCTTATACAGAGTCGGAAGACATGTATTCCCGCGCCTGTCCAGTTAGCCGATCGGTCACCGCTTCATTGATGCGGTGCACGATTGCGTTCGTGGTCGTGAGGATCGTACGGTTAGCGAAATACTCATCGGTAGCAACTTCGGGGTTGTTAATCTCGCCATACATCTCGTCGATGATCCGATCCATGCCTCTTGGAATAACACCAGGACGAATTTCCTGGTCCTCCTCCTCAGGCACAGGTGGATTCTCAATCAGCATATCGCGCGGGATCTTCATGTAATCGCTTCCTAGGGAAGGAGTTACATCATGCCTTCCCTCCCCGACTTGCAGCAGAAACTCGGAGAATGCAGCCATTTCCTCAGCCATGTCTGCAGTATCAGCTGTGCGCACTCGCATGTTTTCCGTAAGACGGAACGTCTGGATTTGGGGCCACAGCCTAGACGACTTGAGGCAAGCGTCAATTGTCTCGACGGGTGTTTCATTCTTAACGATCGGGAGAATCTGGCGGAAATCTCCCGAAAGTACAAGCACTTTCCCCCCAAAAGGCTCGGTATCGTTGTCAAGTATGTCCCGCAGTGTTCTGTCTACTGCCTCGAATGCGTGGCGATGGGCCATAGGTGCTTCGTCCCAAATAATTAAACTTGCATGCTTAATCAACTCCTGAATATGGGAGTTCTTCCTGATACCGCACGTCGAGCTCTCGTTCAATTTCAAAGGGATCTTGAATGTAGAATGAGCTGTCCTACCACCCATGAGCAAGAGCGAGGCAATACCGCTAGACGCCACAGCGATGGCGATTTCCCCCGAGAGTCTGACTTTGGCCAGTATTTTTCGAAGCAGTGTAGATTTTCCAGTCCCACCCGGGCCATCAAAAAAAAATAGTTTCTTGCCTTCGTCCGGGCATTCAACCGCTTCAATAATCTGGTCGTAAACCACCCGCTGACTTTCGTTTAGCTGATCTTCTGTGTTTACAATCGCCTCCAAAGCTGACGCATCGTATCCAGTGAGCTCACGTCGAAGTAATCCGTTTTGGCGAAGCGCTTCACGAATCAATGCTGGGAACGACCCCAACTGAGTAAGCTCGTCGAAATCAGCTACCGCATACCCACTCGCTTGAAGTAGATCTTGAATGCTCATCAGCGTTTCAAATTCGACCAACGCCGACTTGAAGGGGTCCATCAAAGCCTGATGTTTGCGTGCGAAGTCTTGGGAAAGATCCGCGAAAA